GCGGCCCGAGCTACCCAGGTTCCTCTGTCCACCGGCCAACGTTCGCCGCGGGGCCTAAATCGCCGCTTTCTCACCCCGCTCTTCGTTTTGTTTTGGTTTGGTGTTTTTTGTTGTTTTTTTTTTTCTAGCTCCCGCGAAAATCGCGCGGGCCTCGGGGGGCGAGAGCGGTAAGTCCTCGAATCGCTGCCGCTAGCTGCGCAGCGGGGTGAAGGCCGGCGGCTTGCCCGCCGGGAGGGACGCCTTAACGAACCCAAACCGACCCCGGCCCTCAACGCTTTGCCCGCTCGCCTTCTGGCGTCGTGGCATCTCGTCCTCGGCCGCTCTTTGTCGCCGTCGCCCCTGTCGTAACGTGGAGCTCTGTCAGCCCCGCGGCGGAGGTGACCCGCTGCTCTTCCGCCTGCCGATAAGGACCAGGTTTGCCTGTCGGCCCGAGGCCGCCGGGGAAGGGGTTGAATCCCCTTAAAAAGCCAAAATAGAGGCTAATCCCCAAACCTGAGCGAATTACGTTGTCTGTAGGTTGTTTTTCGGTGAGCCTAGCCGGCCTCCCAGGTGGGAAATGCCCTTCCAGAGGGGTTTCTAGCTGTCGGTCTGCCCTGAATATCGCTGCAAAACCAAGCCCGGCGCAGAATCCCGAGTCTCTCCGGCAATATCGCTGCAAAACCAACCGGTGTCCCCAGTTCCTCCGCCGGCCGGGGTTCCGGGTGACCCCCTTCCGAGGGAATACTTCCTGACTCCCCGCCGCCGATTGCCGCTTCCGACTTCCCTGCGGTTCACCGCCGGGACCTTTTTATTTAGGAGAACAGAGAACTTGCCGGCGTCCCTCCCTCGTGGCGGTTTGTGGTTTGCCGAGCTAGCTGGGGAGAGAAGAGGGGCGCGCGTAATCCGGCTCGAAGCCTTGTTTTGCCCAAAACTGTGAGCTCTGAGGAAAATCTGGGGGTCAGGCCTGTTGGCGGAGCAGCTGTTGGTCGGCAGAAGCTGTTGCTGATGTGAATTATTCATGAATAATGGTTGGTTTATGGGTTTGTTTGGGTTTTTTTTTTGTCTCGCCGAGCGCTGGAGCGGCGTCTTTACCCGCAGAGGTGAGGCTCGCCGCCTCCCCGGCACCCGGCGTGGTGCCAAGACCCGTCTTTGAGGTCAGATTGTCCCTTTTTAATCGCCTCCAAATGGCTCGCGGGCCTCTTTGTGTGGACGTGGTAGATAAAAACCCGTGGCATTTACGCCGATTCCGGGTCACCCTGTGCTTTTAGCCCAGCCCGCTCCCGGGATTTGGAGGAGGGAGGCTGGTCTGCGTCGGGCAGGTCCTCGGCGCTGGGACGCGCTCCAAGCGAGCAGGAGTCTGGTGCTCCCTGTGGGTATATACACGGAGCTCCTCTCAAATAACGCC